TAGAACCTTAACCAGGGTTAAGAAAGCATGGGGACTAGAAAGTACTTTTTAAAATAAAACTGAGTGACCCAAACATGTCATTATGTCAAACATTCTAGGGGACAATCCAGAGTGTAAGGCCCTCAGATAGTAAAATTGTTTCAATCTTAGTTGAGAGCCCCAAGCATTTAACACTTCCTCTCAACCATCCTGTTGAAGTGCATACAGGAAGGGGCCACATCCTTGAAAGGTTCTGAAGTTGCTTCAAGGAACACTCAGAGTTAACAGCTATTGAGATACAGGGTAGGATCATCAGCTCTCATCCTGCTAACCCACACCACAGACTTCTGTGGGACATATGTACATAAATTACTTCATCACAGTGTATTCAGAACTTTGTTTTGCTCTTTCTACAAATCTACAATAATTTTGAAAAGAACTAAGGTTTTCTGTTTCAACAGATATGTCAAAAACTGAGCTAATCACAAAAAATTGGTTTCCATGTATTCCATTTGTGACACAAAGTGGCAGCCAGAGAGTTTACCTATTTATTAATATGAACTCTAATATTGAATATTACATATACCAAATTAAAATGTTATTAGGTAAACAGGTTGTAAGGATGAAATTACAGAATGTTCAGCAGGAAAATGAATTCTAAGAATAAAGTCATTTTAATTTAGCATGTTTCAGCTTTAATTTATAGACTCAAATTATATTGGGGAAATAAATTATATCCTTATCATTTGAATGTATTAATAGCTCCTAGTCAAATGCACACCCTAATCAGGCAAGTAGCAAATCATAAATCCAAATAACATTCTCCAATAAGAATTTCCATATAACTTAGCAAGCAACATGGGAGGTACCATGGGACACTAAGAAGAGTATATCATCTATTAAGGTTTTTTTTTCACACATGTCTGTCCATTTCGCTGCATGTATCATATTTTATTTCTTTTCACTATTGGATAAATTCTACTGCATAGACATAAAATATTTCTTTATTCATTCAATATGTGAGTAGAGATTTAAATTACCTCTGGGTTTATGATTATGAATAAAACTTGGGAGCACACATGACAAGCTGTTATATGGACATGGGATTTTATTTCTTGTGTGTATATGGATAGGATAGGGCTATAGGTTTGACTTCTTTAAAAGCTGTCAAATTCCCAGAAAAAGTAGTTATATCACTTTTAGATTCCCATGATAATTAGAGCTCACACACCTCTGCATGCTTGCCACCACTCAGTATTTATTGCTGGTCTTTCTCATTTTTATCATTGATGAAAGGAAAAAATGGGAACTTATGTGTTAGGAATGCTGATCATATACATATCTTCACATGGAAACATTTGAATATCATTCCAGACTTTATATAGAGGGATGTTACATAAAAAAAATGTAAACCAATATTGAACTCTAGTTAATGATATGTAAACGGTTTTGCTCTGGGGGAAGTATATTTGTGGCTGTGTTAAAATTTAATTTAGAAGATCACTAAGAACAAAACACTATAAACTGATTCACACAGAGAGATTTGGATAGCTGGACAGGTAGGCAACAAAGCAAGAATTATGCAATGTTAACCAAGGCATAAAGTCAAGGACCTATAGATCCAATTTTTTGGGGAAGCTGAGCCAAGAGAATCACTTGAATGTAGGAGTTTTTGAGGCCAGCCATGGACAACATAGCAGGACTATAAAAAAATAAATAAAAATAAATTAAATTTTTAAAAATTGTGGGAGTTGGTGGTGAGAAAATTCTGCACAATTTTCTGTATGAAAACTGTCTTGCATGCTGAGAAAATGCATGTTGATATAAGTTTGCTCTTCAACTGACCCTGTACTATTTTTTAGATTTACTGACAGGGTAATAGTAATAGTAAGTACCCTGTGTAAAGCATTAGGCATAATTAAAGTCGAAGTTCTTGGTTCATAGAGCTCATAACTCAGTAAAGCAGAACAACATGGTATTGGGTTATCATGTCATTAATTTTCTGCAACAGGGTGTATTGTTTGAGATAGACTCACTAAGTACATGACTCTATATATGGTACTGTGATTGCTTCACTTTATAAGACTTTCATATGAACACTTTTCCTTATTTATTTATTTATTTACTTATTTATTTATTAAGATAGGGTTTCTCTTTGTAGCCTGGCTAACCTTAACTCATTCTGTAGATCAGGCTTGGCCTGGAACTCAGGGATCCACCTGGTCTGCCTCCCATGTGCATGGATTAGACGTATGGGCCACAATACCCAGCTCAGAAAATTAGACTTGGGTGGTCATTGAGAAGCTGTGAAAATCAATCTCACTGTGAACAGTTGGACTGAGTATGTTTCTCCTTCCATAACAATGGCTAAATAACCCTAGAAATTTCATATACATATCATATACATATATATATATATATGGTCAGAGTTCTGGTTCTCATTATAAATAATGCACGACACTGAGAAAAATTCACATAAACACCAGCTAAGATATTGAAATACTATATCAGTACCTAGATGCATATTTAAAACATGGAAGCCCTTTGTACCAAACAGGACTGACTCTCCCAGACATGCATATGTGTATTTTCCCTTTTTGCCTTCTTCACAGTTTAACATTAAGTGGATTTTTAGAACAGTTAATGCCCATGGTAGCCCACCTAACCTGAATAATCTTTTTTCTTATAACTGTATCCTCAGCACCCATAAAAGACAAAAATTATTAATTAACTTATTAGCTAAAACATTATTTGTTAGAACTGATACGCCTCCAAGTTGTACGTAAATCAGAAAATAAAGGTGGCTATTACTTTGTCATTTATAAGAAAAACAACATAATGCAACAATGTGTGTGCCAAAGCTACCTGACCTTTTTCCGCCCTGGTTTCAATTCTACTGTCTGCTAAAATGTCATATCTACTTTATGTAGCCTCTCACAATTTAAAAAAAAAATGATAAGGATAAAGACTTTCAGAACAAGGGACTTTCCTTTATTAGAATGTAAGGAAAAAACGACTCTTGTCATTTTACACTTCCAACCTGAAGGACTTGGTAATTGTAACAGGAATGCAGCTGAAAGTTCTGGGTCATTATTTCCATCTGTATGAGCGATAGTTATAAGACTTCCCTGAGATGAGATTGTTAGAACCCCATTACCACTCTCCAAGACTTTATGACTAGAAACAGGGAGATAAAAATGTAAGTCTAAAAGCCAAAGAAAATTGTTGTCCTTCAATTATACTTATATATACCAGGCAAAATCCAACTGCCTTCTGGATAATGAACTATTCACTCAATTATGTGTGTGTAAGAATCTCAGAACAGTGAAGAGAATCAAGCTTTAAAAGGTTAGAATATTGTATGTCTGTGCTCAAACAAATTATTTTTAAGACCTTGATCTCAACAAAATCCTAGGCTGGTATTGAGAAAGTTCCTATGGGCTGGAGAGATGGCCCCATGATAAAGAGTTGTCAGCTCTTCCTGGTGACCCAGATTCAATTCCAGCACCCATGTGCTGGCTCCCCAGTTCCAGAAGACCTGATGCCTTCTCATCACCATTACCATTGTACACACATGTCATACAGACATACACACAGGGAAAACACCCCCTACACACACACAGACACACATACACAAACCAAAGAAAGGATTTTTTTCCCTTTTTCTGTAAGACAGGGTTTCTCTGTGTAGCTTTGGCTATCCCATAACTCCCTTTGTAGGCCAGACTGGCCTTGAACTTACAGAGAGTCTTCTGTCTCTGCCTCCCATGTGCTGGTATTAAAGGTGTGCACCAACATCACTCAGCTGACTTTTTTATTTTTTGAAAACACAGGTCACTGATTCTTAAATTAGTTCTCATTTGGACAGTGCTTAACTATATAAAAAAAAAACAAAAACAAAAACAAAAAACCACACACACCAATATTTTTTTCTAACCATACCCAAACTTGGTTAACCTAGTCCTCATTTAGGAAGGAGAGAATAGTGTTTCCAGGTTGAGTCACTCGTCCTCTGAATAAATAAAAGTTTTTGTCTATCAATTATGAAGGCATGCTTACCACAGTGCTATGTTCTTATTTCATTCTAATCTATGTTTTATAAATTCATATCTATCTAGTGAAAAGTCACTTATACCTTGAATTATAAAATGATCTGATGCCTTCCCATCTCCACTAACATCAAACAACTTATCAGATGCTTAATTTTGTTTCAAAGCTAAAAACAGATTTTAAAATTAATGTTTTATCCCCAAACCACAACTACAAAAGATCTTTAAAAAGATAAATTGTGGTAAGTTTAGTTTAGCCAATCCTATTATAAGAAATATTACAAATGTCCTTAGTGCTTTGCTTAGCATCATTCAGAAGCTCATGGAAAATTTATCTCAACTTATCTAAAAAGTAATAATAAAAAAACCTGGTGTGTATCCACACCAAATACCTCAGATCTCCTTTAATCACAAACAGAAAGAAAAAATAATAATCCAACAAAATTCTAAGCTTATAAAAACAGATGGTTATTTTTCACTTGGCAGTGGCTGTCAGGCAAAACAGTGATTTGTGAACGAAATCTTCTTCTATTCCATAAAGTACCAATATTTGTCTCAAAGAAAACTGTTACTAATTGTTGGCAATGGTCTAGGAAAAAATTAAAAAGTGAAGCCAGTCTGCTAGTAGTGACAATTATGCAAATACCAAAAAGGGTTCTAAAACAAAACTCCCCAAGGACAGACCGCTCCCTCTGAAGGAAAGAATGAATAGGATCATGCTTGCCAAACTCCGCAGATGCTACTCAGGGATTGGAAGACTGAACTTCACGATCTCTCCAGTACCAAAAAAAAAAAAAAAAAAAAATCTCTACAACAGAGGAGAAAGCACAAGGAAAGATGGGTGAGAATGCAACAACTGAGAGAAAGAGTGGAAGGCAGATACGACCAAATGGACATGACCCTCCCAGATGCCTTAGAATTGAGCATCTTAAAACAAGAGTTGTTTTGCTGTTATTATTCAGTTTTCATTACCTGATAGGCAGATATAAGTTAAATATTCGCCTTGACCCCCAGTTGCCAAGAAAGGAATCTTTTTCTTTGTCCTCCTCTTGACTTGGACAGCTCCCAGCATTCTTTCATCAAGAGGTGCAAAAATTTCCTTGCTGATGGCAGATTTGGCACTCATTGTAGAGCAAACGAGGAGGGCACGCAGGGAATTTTCTGAAGAAAAAGAAGAGGAAAGTTGGAAGTGACAATATTGCTGGGCTTGTAGGAAGGAGCAGGACATGTGTGAGGGTGCAGTACTGCTCAGCTTGCAGCTTAACCTCTCTGCATTAAAGAAACCTTACCAACAAGCTACCACAGTGTACTATCCATAGACACAAAGGGAAAGGGGGAGTGTATTTACTACCTGAAATGTTCAGCACAACGTGACCTGAACAGCAAGTAAGAGACTCTAGGGGGCTTGCTCATCTCTACCTAGGCTGTCCCTGCCCCTAACTGGCAACAGTATTCATCCTCCTCCTCCCTTGTCAGGAACAACACTTGCAGTTGAAAAGTCTTTCCACCCCCCAAATTGACTTTTTTATTCCCCTTCCAAATCTCCTTCAACTCCAATGTAAATACATTTTCCTAATTCCATTCACAGTGGAAATAGTGATGTCATCATCTACAAAATAGCCATATAGGAAAGAGAAGACCATTGATTTTACCACTGCTCAGCTGCCTATCTCTCAGCTAAGTAAGGAGCTCTTGTTTGTTAGTCTCCTGCAGAGGGCCCTACTGTCCAGGGTTCCACTGCATACACCTGCCACCATCCTGACTCTTGCAAAATCTTCTGCATTGTCTTTCAGCCCCAGTTGGCATGGAATTCTAAATCTATGTCAGATCTGTGCTATTTACATTGGAAGTGCTACCTGGCCAGGCCAAAGGAGCTAAAAAATGAAACAGGGGGACAGAGGCAAATCATCTAAGGTTTATCTCTGGCCTCCATATATACATGCATACATGCACACCTGCCTACACATGAACATCACATGTACCAATCAGAATTGAAGGTGCAAGAAAAGTCTTTGTCCTGCTCACACAGGTCGTTTGGGGGACTGTGGGGTTCTGCATACAGACTGACAGCATATTATATGACATAGCAGTAGCTTCATGAAAATGTCCTCAAATTGACTAGTTGATAAAGAAGCCCACACTATATACTACCTTGTACTTGGTATTAGAATGCCATAATATATCAAGATATGGTATCTATCCTAGAAGGGTTGATTACAGACCACATCACAGGTTTCACTGGTAAGCCAGAGAGATGTTCCAGTGAGTAACAGCATTTGCAGCCTAGAAAATAAACTCCCACAAGCTATCCTCTGACTTTCATACATGCATCATTTTGGCATGGCCTGCCTCCTAAAAGTAATAAATATATTTTCACAGTTTCATTGGAATTCCAATGATTTATGAAGGAAGACCATGGAAACATCTTTCAAATGCAAAGCCATACCTGTCTACAACTCTAAGCCTCTAGCAGGAAAAGTATAAAGAGTTTCCTGATTTAAAAAGTTTTTTTCTTTAATTCTGAAATATAGTAGGTTCTATTAGCACCAAAAAGATATACTGATGCATACACCAAGGATGCATGTCATGGGTCTAGCAGATGTTATATAATATATACATCATATATTCTGATGTACTTCTATTCTGTAAACAGTTTCTGCACTGACACCAGGTCGTATTTCCATGTTGGCTAAGAAATATTGATAATAGTGTAGGTGTGCCTGGTTTCCATTGTGCTGAACACTTCTATCGCCCTCAAGCTAGCAAACAGAACTTCTCTGATCCTGTTCTTGTCTTACTGTCTTATGTCAGTTTGATGATTTGCTGGGTTATTTTTTTGGGGGGGCGGGGGTGGGGATTTTGCTTTTTTAAAATAGAGAAATGCATATGCATATTCGTTTTCTATTTGGGAGGTCTTTCATGTCTCCCACTCAGGGGAGCACAGAAAAGAAAGCCAAGGAAGAAGGCAAGCAGTATTCTCAGTCACATCCAGGAGCTCATTGACATACACCTTCCCCAACAGGCACAGCTTTGTTTCCTCATCCTGAGTCACATCTCAAACCAAATTGAAAAAAACAAAAAACAAAAAAACAGAGAACTAATGTCACATTGTTAAAATATATCAGAAGACAAAAGAGGCACACCTGCTCACCTGCTTTACCATGATCTTAAAACTTTTTTTTTTTTTTTTTTTTTTTTTTTGACAGCTGGTGAGGACTTGAAGTGACCTTTGTTACTTTTTTTATACTGATATTCACAAATGGAAGGGGCACAGGAAAGATAAACTAGAAACTCCTCTGACCCAAGTTTTAAAATCAAAGGAGCTTAGATTTAAATCTCAGGTCCAATATATAAGGACTGAGATGGGTGGGTAAGTCTTAGTATTTCTGACTCTCAGTTTACTTAGCTAAGTGATTCTCAACCTTCCTACTTCTGTGACCCTTTAATAGACTTTCTTATGTTGTGGTGACCCCAACCATGAAAATATTTCATTGCTTCTTCATAACAGTAATCAGGTTACTGTTATGAATTCCAATGTATATATCTATGTTTTCTAATGGTTTAGTCAATCTCTGTGTTGTTGACCAAGGAGGTATCGACCCACACACAGGTTAAGAACTCCTAACATAGTACAACATGGAGATACCTTTCTATCCATCTTGGAACTGAAGAGTTAAATAGGTTAATATGTTCAGATCATGCATTCCAGTGTCTCAATATTTTTTAAATATTGACAATGGAGAATTTTATTAACTCCTATTATGATATGAATAATGAAATATATAATAATCCAACTATAAAAATTGAATGACTGTACCCATGCACAGCAGAAGATATCTGGAAGAATAATATTCAACTTTACTTAGCAAAGAGTCACTGTTTTTCAAGTATAGATACACGCAAATAGATGGTTTCTTCTATACAAATACAAAAACGAGGAAATATAGGCCTTTCTCCTTTGAAAATCCACAACATAGTCATTCTATGGTAAAGTGTCACTTTTTTGTTGTTGTTGTTCAGGACTTTCTGAAGTACATGAAGGTGTATGTTTTCAGTGTCATTCTGGGCACCATTTACCTGTCTCAAATCTGGTTGCATATCTGAATTCATCAAATAAGAATCTATAAATTATTTTCAACAACTCTTTAACTCCTCCGGTTCCCATGGGTCTTCCTATCATCAAGTTTAAAAGCCATTACTCTATACAAAACTAAAACTTCAACCAGAAGTATAGCAATTGGTAGAGAAAGGAACATTTCAGTGGAGGCTTCAGGAAGACAGGACAGGGGATTTACCCACCCCACACTCCCCTCTGCCAATGATTCACACTAGCAGATACACAAAGTCTTCAAGTCTTACAGCTAAATTTTTAGTACCAGCCTGAGAACAGATAACAGTTTTCAGGATACAAGACTATAACTGCAACATTTGTAGCAATGACAGCTTACTACTTCAACCTATATCACTCTGTGAACACTTTTCCTTTTCTTGATCCACAGCTTCTAAAGCAAATAGTTTATAAATTTTTTCTATCCAGAAGAGCAGTCCATAGTTTCATTTGCAAGGCAGAGCAGCTGGCTAAATTACATGATGGTTGCAGAGACCATGTCTTTTTTGAGTTTTGTACTTCTTCAAGGCCTTCTTCAGCTTAAGTCATTTAGGATCAGTGAAGATATTTTTAAAAATAGATAGCCACCTTAGTGAAATGGCTCCAAAACAAGAGTATCCATCAGTGTAGGAACTGGAAACTCATGTGCTCTCAAGGACCAGGCAGGCAAAATACACAACAAAACAAGAGTATGTGTCAAGAGGTCCTTATGTCCCCCGAACTAATGTTTTTGGTCTCCAATATAATTGATACTTGTCCTCTGTGATTCAGAAGACCAGGAAGACTAGGAGAGACTGCAGTGAATCCAAAACTATTATTTACATAGTATTCATAATCATGTACATGGATCTAGGGTGTATAGCTCATAAGCCTGAAGTCTCATCTGAGGAGAAACTTTAGAGAACCAATAGCCCATCTATTTATATTATTATATTAATATATTAACAAATATTTGAATTACCCAATTTTATTACGTTAACTCTTGTTCTTCTGTTTATGTTTTGGCACTAACTGTGACAACACAAGTATTTTAAACTGTGTGTCCATGGAAACATTTATTATAAATGACTGAAAAGAATTCTTTGTTTTAAATATTATGTGGTCAGTATGATTGTATTCTGAGGCAGATATACTCAGTGTGCTGTTATCAATGTTAGAGTCCGCAAAGGTTTAGGGTCAAGGTGGTGAATACTGGTGGACACTGGGAGAGAATACTGGTGGACATTGGCAGGATAGCTCATCTTCCTGGGTGGATCTGAACTCTAGTAAGATGGACTCAAAACCCATAGAAATAAGTCATGTTCTAACACTGAATTTCTTTGCATTGCTACTTTTTGAAATATGTCCAATGAAGAGTGTCTCATGAGACCGGTTTGGATCTTAAATGTCCAGTGAAAGCCTGACCATGATACTAAGGGGAGAGGAGGAGCCTAGTGGGAAACCCTGAGTGCATAGGAAGAAGTTTCCTGCAGGTGATACTGGGACCCTGCCCCTGCCACTCTTCCTCTCCCTCTCCCTCTCCCTCTCCCTCTCCCTCTCTCTGCTTCCCGGCCACCATGAGGCAAGTAGCTTTATTCTGCCATGCACTTCTCACTATGATGTTCTGCTCTGCCATAAAAAAAAATAAATCTCTTAAAGTTGACATTCATCACAGCGATGAACAGCTGACAACTACAAAGACTAGTTAATTATATTTCTAACCCAGTGTGCTTTCCTGGTTTGAAAGGTAGATTATTAGCTGCAGGCTAATTTTCACCAAGACTTTCCCTTCCCCCATAAACCTCCCTTACCCACAATAACCAGCCAATCATCAAGTCTTGTGGGTTTCCTTTAGTATTTCTGGATTCTACCAGCTTTCCACCATTCTGATTTCCTAGGCCAAGTATGAGTCTTCACCATTTGATTTTGATGATTGCTCTAAAGGATGGCAGCTCTGATCCAGATTCAGTACAGTCACTCCTCTGCCCTGTCCCATATAATATTCTACCAGGTTAGATTAAGCATGATGAGAGCTTAGCTATATTTAACTGTTCATTTTCTGTGCCTTTGCTAT